TGTGTGAATTTGAATGGGTCCCTAGATCGTTTATAATATTCACATTTGGACCCGGTAGGTTATCCAGAGATCACCCGTGCAAAGCCGGGACGGATTGCTAGTAAAAGATATATTGTAATTTGCTACGGCAATCTAATTTTTAGAACTTATAAGTCATTTTTGACTACTATCCCACCTAATGGTAATAATTCAGATCCGAAGATGATAAAACTCCTGTAGCTAGCTAGCTGTGCTAAAGGCAATAATAATACCACCCATTAACCATCAATAAATGAAACTCTCCGAAAGGAGACAATCATTTTTGGGCCCACTAGAAATATTAACGTCATTTAATGGTATTTACACCAAAAAAAGACACTAAATTATAATAGTAAATGGCCTATAGATTTTTCGAAAATGTAAACGGAAACAAGAAATCTGAAAAAAAAAATTAGTTGTTTTGACATTCGTGTTCTGATCATTGGCTAAGGTAATGTTTTATACAAAGGTACTCTGTGGGTAATGTAATATTTAAAAAATTATTGTCTTAGAGATGTGCCGTGATAACTCGGAAAAAATCGAATCGAGTTGAAATTCAGGTAACTCGATTTTGAGCTCGAGTTAAACAATTCAAATTAGATGAACGAAGCTGTGTCAATATGTCACAAATTATTTTTATAATTGTTCTTCCATACAACACAATTATTATTACTACACTTAATAGGTAGTTATATATTATTTTTGGTATGCGTATCGACATCTTCATAAAATAATATCACTAACGTTATGACGTAAGTCTTATGTTATTAATAATTTGACGATCCAAAGTATATATAATCAATTTATATTATATATAACATAAATTAATACAACATTATATACATATTACCTAATATCAATTTATTTATTACATAATATATCAATAAATTGCTCGAATTAGTAAGTCGATTTAATCACTAAATTGTAGACAAACACTGCATTGGCCGTAAGATAAAGATGCGATTCGAGTAGAGTTTTGTGACTCGAGCCACTCGGGTTAATTTACGAGTATGTATGTATGTCATTCTAGTTGTACACTAGTTTTTGAGTAAATCCTGTATACTATATATAAACTATTGACAGAAAAGTTTATCACTAGAGTTGAGAGTAGCGATTACTTTAGTTAAACCATTTTTAAATATTTACATTTATAAATAAGTAATATGTGAAATTAAAACTATAAATCAATATCATAAATAAAACTAAGTTAAGGTTTGTTTACAACATGCCAGATGCAAGTTTGAATTTGGATGCAACTTGTGATGTCACCCGCAGCGACTTATTATATATTCAAGTAAATTAGTGAAGTAATATCTATATAGCACCCTCTGAATCTATACGATGCGCCGAGTTAACTCGGTAACTCGGTAAAATTTATTTTCTATCGATTATCGAGTTGGACAAATTCACTCGATTCACTCGGGTGAAATAAAACATAGTTGGAGTCGCATCATTATGGTAAGAACAAAATGGAGTTTTTATTTACAAGCATTATTAAACTAATGTTTAAGAAAATATGGATATTATCAATTATCAGAAAGGTTAGCCAAATATTAATTGACATAAGTACGTATGTTTTTCTCTTTTTAGTTTTTGTGGTAAAATTCGCAAATAGAAGATAAGAGTTTATTAATTTATACCTATTCTAGGTTGTGAAAATCTATTATTAAGTTTGTATATTTTACCTAAAACAAAATAAATACATAATGATTTCTTATATTTACGCGAACACTATACATGATTTAAAACTACTTTTACGGATTTTATCGCGTTTATTTTTACTTTTTATTTACTTTTATTTTTAATTCCCGACGTTTCGGGCGCTTTCCAGCACCCATGGTCACGGGGGACTGAGATGACTGACGTCCCGATGTCATTGTTAAACCCGGAGTACCTTCAGATTTTTTAATTATTGTTTATGGTCCGATCTATGCAAAATGAACTATGTCCTGAGGTCTTGCAGTGGTATGCTTGGGTTTAGTTTTAATTTTATTGATTATAGGATCCCAAGCAGGTGGTAGTACCCAGCCTCCTTCTCTAATAATGATTTCTTATTAGATTATATATTCTCCTTCTCTATTTCACATCCGTCTAGGATATGATCACAAATTTGTGATTGTGATTGTGTGTGATTGTGACCCAACCATTACATCAGATTTGATAGACCACAAATCCTCGCGAAAGAACACCGATTCCTACCAAGGATGATACGTGAGGCTATTGAAATTAAAAAACATCCTAATTTCATTAGAGAAGGAGGCTGGGTACTACCACCTGCTTGGGATCCTATAATCAATAAAATTAAAACTAAACCCAAGCATACCACTGCAAGACCTCAGGACATAGTCAGTTCATTTTGCATAGATCGGACCATAAACAATAATTAAAAAAGCTGAAGGTACTCCGGGTTTAACAATGACATCGGGACGCAGTCATCTCAGTCCCCCGTGACCATGGGTGCTGGAAAGCGCCCGAAACGTCGGGAATTAAAAATAAAAGTAAATAAAAAGTAAAAATAAATGCGATAAAATCCGTAAAAGTAGTTTTAATCAAAAATAAATACAAATAATAAACAGGTCTTAGAACCTTATTAGTTTGTTAAAAGTGACAAAGTATTAAGTTTGTTTTATTAGTAAAATCTAGATTAAATAATAAATAGAATAAATGCACAAAAGAATTTATTATAATGTTAAAAGAAAATTAGAATCTTTGGGTCGAGAGGGTTTTGAAGAGCAATTCATATAACTACATTTGTGTACAAATAGGTACCTTATGTATTTAGCAAGTTGCTTAATACTAAATGACTTTTTTGTTAAGCCAGACACAGATCCTGGATTTATACCAGGCATAGTAGATAGGCAATATAAATGTTACATATTTATGTGTGAAAAATGTAGTAATTATTTGTACTAGAAGCAATTATAAAGTTTAATAATAATAGTTTGCATAAAAAAGTGTAATGTTTGTATCTATTATGCTTAGACAGCTGTGTTGTTCACTGTGCAGAAAGGAATATTATTTTGTCATCTAGAATCAGATATTCTTAATATAACAATAATATCTTTGTCTCCTATGTACATGAAACCGGAAAAAATAAAATGTGAGACAAATTTTACATGGTTGAATATCATAGATGTTGATCAGTAATTACTGCTCCTGTATTTGATCAGCTGGAGCTGATTAATGCTGTATAGTTTACAATAATTTCTTTATTATTTAACATATGAAAAGGCAGATATAAGAAAATGCTTACAGAAATATGTAAATACAGTTTATTGACATTGAAGGCATAGTCTTATCTCATATCTCTTATTATTAAAAATGTCCTTTTAATTCCTATATAATATAGAAAAAAAAATATATTGATAAGAATTATTATTTAGTTAAGACACCTTTACAATTGTCATTAACTTCTTTTCAGGTGGATCGCTTAGAACAAATCTGTATGCCGTGCAGGCTGAAAGCTTGCAGAGACAAAAAGTGTATGGATATTAAAGACAGTCTTATATCATATCTCTTATAATTGAAAATTCCTTTTGATTGCTTACAATATCATAAATGTACATGTTACCATCAAGTTATTTTCAAAAAACCTTCAGAAATATATCTAACACTAAAATGTTTCTACCTATGTCCGTTATAGACAAAACATAAGAAACCATCCAACCAATTTCAATGAAAATGTTTGTGTGTGTTTGGATGGATCCCTAGATGGTTTATATTTACATTTGGACCCGGTAGATGGCACTGTTGTCGAAATCCATAAATCACCGGTGCTGCAGCTGAGGTACATCGCTAGTAATAAATACCTTTAAATTAAGCCTGTGTTTTTGTAATACTTACACAAACAGTTTAAAACATCTTACTTCCTCACTATTTATCATTGTGTAATAACATAGATAAGGCATGTTAATTCCTAGTCATTTTATTATGATGTATACTACTTACTAATCAACCAAAACATATTAAAACAATGTCTTGACACCGCTCCTGTCTATATATGTCAGTCAATCATCAAAGTTCAAAAAATTTATTAAATTAAGTTTGTATAAAAGGGGTTATTATAGTATAAAGGAATTTATGGCTGACAATAACCCGTGGGTAAGGTGATCGCTACCAAGCTATTTCTAATTTGTTCTGTGTTGTTAATTATGACATACATGATTGTAAGCTGGCTTTTTTTAAAAAGACTCACTGGGTATTTTGCTGGTTCTCTTCAAGTCAGAGGTTTTTTCCGAACCAGTGGTAAATTAAAAAAGTGACTTTCAATAAGTATTATTTATAATCTAAATTGAATAAAAGGTTTCTGTTTCTGTACCTACTACTGTTAATAGAATACTTAAATAAATTATGATTTACAATAATAAATAGAATTAACTACATTATATTTTGTTTTTTGTAATACAACCAGTTTAAAACATATCTTACTGTGTGTTGGTAATATCATAAATATAAATAGACATTATCCCTTAGCCTTCTTGGTATTTAGAATTACACTCACAATCAATCAATACATGTCAAACTTAGAATTCATACGACATTTGTGCATAGACAGGCACTATGTTTTGCCGGAACTAGTGAAAGGTTTTACATCGATTTTAAAATATTTATAAATGCTGAATATATCTACAGCTTAGTTTTATATGTACTATTATTCAAGTGTGCACTATTTTAACTTATAATACCGATGAATACTACCAGAAAATCGCTTTCAGTTTGTTTTTAGGTTATTGTTAGATTCATATTTTATTTGTTAATTTCTCAGGACTCCATTTAGATGCAGTAAAACTAATAATTTTATTGTAATCTATGAATTATAAGGAATAAATCGACATGCATTTCATTGATAATCTTTAAAATTTGTAGTGGGCCCATTCTCCGTAGAAAAATTGATTGTCGCCTTTGAGGTGACCTGTGCCCGGCTGTGGGACGTATATCTAACTATACTTCTAAAATCTTATACTGCAATTTTAGAAAAATACCTGCGTAGCCATTTTCCTAGTTCCGGTGGACCCTGCGTGCTGTTTGACGAGGAAGGCTGGCAAGCTATGTTGGGCGAGTGCTCTATTCCTGATGCGGAAGCTGATGGTGTGTTGCCTTTGCTACTGAACCTCTTCGCTGACCGAGATTCAGGCGCCTCGCAACCACGCTTTCTCTAGAACACACGACGTTCATGTTATCGTTTTTATTCGGCTTCTGTATTTTATCTCGTTCTCTAACAAGCTGAATTTTTTGTTTCATAATAGTTTCAAATCACAACTATTATATACAATATGTAACGTAATTAACGCACACCCTCAGTCTCCCCAATTAGTATATTATGTTATAATCATAATACATACACTGAATTTTTAGTTAAACATTTTTATGCACTGATTATTTATCAAATTAATTATACTAATTCCGGATGAATGTTAGGAAGTACTCTGTGCACAGTACAAATCGAAGACGTCCTTGAAATAAAGTTAATTTTTCTTTATTTTTATTGAATGACAGAATTAGTAATAATACAAATAAAACTGCACTCTTAAAAGTATTATTGCCTTAAGTTACGGTACATTTCAGTTTGTTTTGACTGTACAGATTTAGTGTGACTGTAATTTACGTAGTTTTAATTATTTTTGGGATAAAAAATTACCTATATTAAAAATGATAGGAATAGATTAAGTAAACGATTCTGAACAAACTACTTTCTCAAAGTGCATTAATTATGTTACATGTTGTATATACAATAAATATGGGAAAGATTAATTTAAACTTACCAAATTATACGCGTGCATTTCTTCAAATATTGACACAGCGTTCAATACAGAGCTAATGCAAAAGTTATTACATCTACCGACATAATACGCTGCAAACCTCCATGCACTCTTTGTTGAAATACCTCCAAACTTAAATTATTACTTAATATGCATTATATAAACATAATTAATGATTCAAAAATTAACACATTTTTTGAGAATTAAACGACTATAATATACTATGTAAAATGGACATGTTGCGCTTACACAATTTACTTTAAAATAAATCAAAACTACTACTTTACTACGATAGCCTATGTTACTTTGTGATAATTTAGCTTTATATTGGTGAAAAAATTATTTAAATTTGTTTAGGAGTTTCAAGGCTTATTCGGTACGAACAAACAATTAAAAAATCTTTCTTCTTAATAATATTAGTATAGATATTAGGTAATGAATTACTTTCTTATAATTTTTTTGTTCTTTTTTTAATATTTGATTACTTTATTTTTATTACAAATATCATTATTTGTAAAAAGATAATATCTACAAAACATAAGCCATTAAATTTATGGGGCAGAGCTTCCCTGTAAACGATATTTGATGTTGTTTTATTGTGTTATCGCTATTTGATATTGTTTTATTGTGTTAACATCTTTGTAAATGATATAGTCTCGGTTTTAAAGTACTCAAAGGTCTATCTTTTTGCAAACGACTTAAAAATGTGTAGAGAAATCCACTCAGCCACTGATGTTGAGCTTCTTCAAGAGGATGTTGATAGTTTGGCAATCTGGTTTGAACAAAATCGAATGGAGCTAAATGTCGATAAATATTATTTTATTAGATTTTCACGGCACAGGTTGCAAGCTTTTGCAAACTTCGTACCACATTAATGGAAAACAACTTAAAGAGGTAGATTCTATCAGGGACCTAGACGTTATTTTAGATAAAAAACTTCGCTTTCACAAACACATTGAGGACATAGACGTGTCGTGGCCTTCAAGATGCTAGGATTCGTAATTCGTAACTGTAATTACTACACTAAAATTAGCTAAAAAAATTTTATTATATAACGCATACGTTCGTTCGATTTTGGAGTATTGCAGCCAGGTTTGGTCACCACACTACGAAGTGTATGTTAAGCGACTAGAACGTGTGCAGAAAAGATTTTTATGGCATGTCTCATTTCAATCCGGTCTAGCTAAGCAGTTGCCTTCGTGCGTCGATAGACTTTCAAAATTCAAAATGAAAAGCTTAAAAAATAAGAGGCTTATATTAGATCATTAATTGTTTTTATATAAAATTGTAAGAGGTGGTCTGGATTGCCCTGGACTGCTGGAACAGGTTCAGCCTAATACACCCTATAAAATCTCTCGAAAAGGGAAATACACACCATTTGCTACCAAGGAATCCAAAAGCAATCTCGGCCATTACGCGATTATGAACAGGCTGCACCGACAATACAATGAGCTCCAATAAAAAACGGACGTAGACATTTTTCAAATAACGTCTCTAATTTAAAAAAGTTACTTCTAGGTGCAAGTTTGAGTACGGAATAATTTTGGATTAGTTTAGTTTTTCTTATATTTTATTACTTTTTAACTAAGCATTAAACACTCACATTTGCATGTCGTGGCAGTCTGTTATTGAATCTGCACTTGCTTAAATCTTAGATATAAATATAGCTTAGATATAAACAATAGCTTAAGAATTTAATGTTTTTGGTGTAAGATTTGTTGGCTGTCCTTAATAAATAAATAAATACACTGTTTATAGCCGACTTTTCATTACACAATATGAACAGATTTTGTCTGTAAGTGACCGATCATGAAATATTTCATGTGCTGAATCGAAGAAGGCCGCGGCGGAGGCGTGCCGGCCGTGATTTTTTTTTGGTTGCACATAATATCTTCGTAATATCTTGAAGGTATTCATTTAAATGATATAGTTCAAGGAGTAATTTTAATGTAGATGAAATGGCCAAGTTAACTAACATATTTATTAAGATGAATATTAATACTGAATTAGAGAAAACATCTTCGCAAATAAGAAAATATTTTTATTTAATATAAAAATGGTTACTTTGAGTCAAATATAATAAAAATAGACATATTATTATGCTAGCGCGGACTTTTGGTCTAGACTCTTTGAAGAACTACGATTCCTTAGTACATTATTTCGAGGTATGTCTTAAAGTTTAGCCAGCGAAGTAAGCGCCCAAATATCAATTTTTTGACGACTTAGTTACAAATTTTGAACTTTTTCTACTATTCAAACTTAACTAGAATGTATTGTACATTGTACAATGACCTTCCATAAAACATCTCTAAATGACAGTGAAAAACGTATTACAATCAGTTCGTTGTGTAGTTTAAAAGAAGTAAGTAGGTAAAGCAATTTTGAAAAATGGAAAACTACCTATTAATTTAATTTAATACTCTAATAATAAAAGTAAAAATAGAATAATAAAAATAAAAGGCAACAGTCAATCGCCCCGTAAAATAAAAAGTGTCATACAAACACCTTATTTCACACTCTGAGGAATCTTATCTTATTACCTAAATCTTATCTTATCTTACTTAATTACCTACCTACGTATTCATCATCATCATCATCATCATTACAGCCCTTCACAAGTCCACTGGTGAACATAGGCCTCACCCAAATAATGCCATAAAGCACGGTCCTGAGCCACCTGCATCCATCGACTTCCTGCATGTCTTACCAGGTCGTCACTCCATCTAGTGTGGGTGTGGGGTCGCCCTACACTACGCCTACCGGTACGAGGCTGCCACTCGAGAACCTTTCTTCGCCATCGGTTATCGGTTCTTCGAGCTATATGGCCGGCCCATTGTCATTCCTCATTTCTAAGTCTATCACGCAGAGAAACTCCAAGCATATCCCTGTCCATAGCTCGCTGAGCGACCTTGAGCGTCCTCATACGGCCAGCAGTGAAGGACTACGTCTCAGATCCGTAAGTCATCACTGGCAACACGCACTGGTTATACACTTTAGTTTTCAGAGATTGAGGTATACCTGACGAGAAAATGTGTCGTAATTTCCCGAACGCTGCCCAGCCGAGTCGAATCCGTCGATTGACCTCTCGGTCGAAGTTGGACTTACCTAGTCGGACTATTTGTCCCAGGTAAACGTACTCGTCAACAACTTCGAGCATAGTGCTCCCAACAACTACCGGCATAGGTGTGACATGGACATTAAACATGATCTTTGTTTTGTCCATGTTCATCTTAAGACCTATCCGTTGGGAGACACCATTGAGGTCATTGAGCATAGTGCTAAGGTCCTCCAGCGATTCTGCCATAAGGACTATATCATCGGCAAATCGAAGGTGAGTGATGTACTCGCCATTGATGTTAATACCGTATCCTTTCCAGTCCAGTAGCTTGAAAACGTCTTCCAACGCAGCGGTGAAGAGTTTCGGTGATATAACATCACCCTGTCTTACACCTTTCTGCAGTTGGATAGGTTTCGAGCTCTGGTTCTGTACTCGGATAGCCATCGTAGCCCTACTGTACAAACACTTCAGCACTTCGATATACCGACAGTCAACTTGGCACCGCTGAAGAGACTGTAGCACCGCCCAAATTTCGACGGAATCAAAGGCTTTCTCATAGTCCACATATGCCAGGCAAAGTGGCAGATTGTACTCTTCGGTCTTTTGTACGATCTGCCGCAGGGTATGTATGTGATCTATGGTACTGAAGCGTTTTCGAGCGAAACCGGCTTATTCGGGAGGCTGGAAGTCGTCGAGTCTGCGTGCGAGACGATTCGTAATGACTCTCGAAAACAGCACGTAGACGCGGCTCAGAAGGGAAATCGGTCTGTAGTTCTTCAAGAGAGCGTTGTCGCTTTTCTTAAAGAACAAGACCACCGCGCTTCTGCTCCACGCCTCCGGAGTAGTGCCACCATGGAGGACGGAATTGAAGAGCTTCTGAAGGGCTTCAAGTACCGGTGTTCCACCCGCTTTCAGAAGCTCCGCTGTAATACCTACGTATTAAATTGAAATTATTTTGTAATATTTTCATGCTTCTACATTCTGCGGTTTGAGCTTTATGCTGGTATTATGTGAAAGCGTGATCCTACCCCGGTCGAGCCGACCCATTCGTACTACAACCATAATGCAGCTTCAATGTGGCTCTACCATGTAATATACAAAGTACATTTATAAGTTTCAAGTTAATCGCCACGTAAAATTAAAAGGTTCATACAAATTATAACACTCTATTTCATCCTCATAGAGATTAAATTTTCCAAAATCATTTCTTAGTGGATGTTACATTATGAAAGGCAGCTACTGTCAAATTTTCAAATTACTACGTAATGCGGTTTAGGCTGTGCTTTGATAGATGGATCAGTTACTCAGGATGTCCTCTTTAATATAATATTTATATATTAACAAGTCCGATTAAATATTATCTGCCGCTTACACATATACTACATAGTAACTTTGCTTTATTATGCTGTATTAGTGGGCTGTAAGGAGCTGTTGAATAATTATTTTTGCACCTTTAAAGTAGGTTTTGAGTTTAGTTTGAATAGGGCCCCAATTTAATTTTGCCCCGGGGCCCTTGGTTGCATAGCTACGTCACTGCATGCTCGGTGTGCTTAAATTTCTCCAAAGCATGATTGGCGTTCAGAGTTTTAACGTCATTTCGTGTGATGGCAGTCCAGAAGGGCTTAGTGAATTTATAAATTCCTGTGGGTAATGGACTGCATCTTCGATATTAGTCACGGTGTCGATCGATTTGTAATTTTTTATATGGCCGGGGACTTTTTGAATAATCAGATCTAGGGGCACAGCAGTGCCCCCGCCAAGTCGAGCAAAAAAGCGGCACGGCCGTACCATACTTTTCTCGAAGCAATTCAGGCCATTTTCGATCCTCTATAATTTCGTAGAGGATAAAACTAGAAGCCTGATTGATTGCCTGAGATGCCATCAAAAACATAACGTAAAAAAACCAAGTCTCGCAACTCAGTTTCTACGGTAATAACTTGTGACATCCATGTAATACCAAGTC